TTATTATTATTATTATTATACAAAAAGGAAGAAAACGGAAGGCAGTAAGAAGGAAGCTTCAACGCGACGATAAGACACGACCCATTGAGAGAAGATGTATTGTGCTGACGACAACGGCGAAGACGACGACGACGACGACGACGACGGGATCGAAGGCCGTCGAGGCGAGGGGGGAAATTCATTCTATACGTGGCGTAATATCTACATGCGTCATGCGGTGTGCTTTCTCTAGGAGGTGAAAATTCTTAACTTTCTTCGGCCATAGAGACATTCCTACCACCGCCGATGATGCTTGGCACCGCGCGTTCCCACAGCTTTTCAGTACTCCGCCGGTTTTGTCTATTATTGACGCATCTTCTCCTCACTTCCCGGTGTTACTGGCGCCGCCGAGACGATTTCGCCTTCGATCGGCGTTCACACTTCACAATACGTTATGTCACCCCCGCGGGAGATTCTCTTCTTTTTTTTCTTCTTAGACCCGGCGGTTTTCTACCTTTGTCGGCGTGGGAGTTTCACGGCTGCACGCCGATTTTCTAACTTCGTCGGCGTGATTTGCGCTTTTCGAGATGCTCATACGCATTTCTTTAGCGCGCGCATTTGAGAGTATCTCGATTTATAAATTATTTATATTATAGCTGGATTAAGGAGATTTGTTGGACGTCGGGCTACGAATGTGCTATACGAAATATCATTAAGTATATTGCATAATTTGTTCCCCTTCCCTCCCCCAAAAAATAAATTATCCTTCATACCGGAAACCTAATGCAAACAGAGGTCTAACTCGCCAGGTGATGAATTGGGAGAGATATTTCTTACCGGAAGAAATCGCGCGGTGTGTCGGTTATACCGAAGAACGGAGATGCAGAATCGTGATGCAGCTTCTTGCGCACGTATCGATTTTCCTGACCCCGGTGACCACGTACCCCTTCCGCCTTGGATACTTCCTGGAAAGTATGTAACGCCCCGCCGCCGGCGCCGCGCCGCCGCCGCCGCCGCTCGGGCCTACGGTTTATATCCGTCTGTTAGCGAGGATCGGTGCAGCGCTATTATACAACACGCCGTTTCTCACGATACCCCATCGTACCATGGTCCGTCTAATTGATAATCATTGCTATCGGATTTATGAGCGACTTGAGCGAGCAAACTCTCATTTTCTTAACATGTTAAATAAATTAAAGTAAGAATTTATAGCTTGTCGTGCAGGAGCATCGTGGATCATTATTCTTATATTATTGTCTTAAAATAAAAAAAGATTTTTTACTCAATTTGAAAGATCATCAACCACTCTGATACCCAATCTCGATTGTTATCAATTATTGTGTATTGGTAGAATCATTTTAATTCTGGAGTTAAGTCTTCGACAGAATTTTATGGGCACGAGATTAATATGCGATTAATACGAGATTAATATAAAGATTGAGATTAATCCTCTCGATCAATTTTACCGTCATCTACAATATATTTTGTAAAGAAATAAAATAAAATACCAAAATTTCGTAACGTTTAATGAATATCATTCTTACACACAACGAGAACCACGTGGAACTTATCCTCGTATAGTTACATATCTTATACGATATATATTTAACAACGCAGCAAAAATGGAAGAGCGAAAGGGTTAACCGCTACCTCGGGAGAATTATGACGTGGGCGATGATAGATATGGAGCAAGAAGCCGGTGCGCCAATTACTCCGCCCATTTAAAGGACGAATCGCGTCGCGTCGGCCGTTCCAGATTACATCAGCAAACGTGAGAATTACGCGATGATTGCGCCGATTAATCGAGAGTAACACGGTGAGTCCCCGGTGAGCCGCTATATCGTGTTCCCAGGAGATGGAATTAACGCGCTTCCATTTCTCCGAGCTTGCAAAAGTTTTAGAGAACGGAGAACGGGCAATATCGGGCGAGTAATCTCGACGGAAAGAAACTCTTCGGCGTATATAGAGTTAACATTATCCAGACGATTATCGGCGGATCTATAGATCAATGTTATAGACCTCTCGTGCTTACGAGAACGAGTATCGCAGCTTGATGACGCAATATTATATCTAATTTCCACGTAAATCAATTTATAATCATTTTTATAACGACTCTCTCTTTCTCCTTATATTTTTTCTCAGCAAAAATTTCGTAAGATCTTATACAGAATGAGCGAGAGAAAGAGAAAGAGAGAGAGAGTCATCATAAAATTATCTGGTATGTAGAGTTCTTTGATATAGTACAGTAATAAATAAGGAATCACGCGATTATAGACTCGAGAGAGAGAGAGAGAGATGCGCACGTTATGCAATTGACCTGTGTGTTGGTTTAACCGAAAATTCGCAAAGACGATTTTACCTTAATACCCGACGAGAGATGAGCGCCTCGGAGACGACGTTCGGATACTCTGACGACAGTATTGGAAAGGAGAGAAAGTGTTAGATAAGGATAACTTGGCACTCGGGCAAGTCTGTGGTCTGCGTAGCGCTTCTTCTCCCGTGGCATTACAATTATAACGCGATTATCCCCGCGGAAATACCATGCCAGACCAGACCGACAAATCGAATGAGCCGATCGAGAGAACACGAAAGAGGAGACTTTACGCGCCGCCTTATGGAATACACGTGTCAGTATCGGCGATCGCGTCGCGTTTAATCCTGTAGCTTACAACATAACACTAACTGTATCCCTTTTGCATAATTTAAAATTATAATTCAATATCCCAAAGATTCAATAAATCAATAAATTAGAAAAGAAAAAAATTATTAAATACATTAAATTATTAAAATCAATAAATTAAAAAAAAAAAAAATATTAAAGCATGGAATAAATTGTAATAATCTCATTGTAATGAGCATTATATAATGAATAATTTGCTCCCTGCTTTAATAATTTTTATTTTTAATTTATTTATTTTAATAACTTACCATATTTAATAACTTTTAATTTATTGAATTAAACAACGCAAGTTTCTTTTAAATTTTATTTTATACTCTTACTGGATCTCTGATATACATTATCTATTGCTTTTCCGACAAATTAAGTGATCTAATTAAAATATCCTCGCAATTACGGCAATGAGTACGACCACTCCGAGTCTGATCGGCGTCAATATGGAATTCGTACGGTGAAAGATGCGACAGATGAGGAGACGGAGATGGGAGAACAGCGGAGGAAGAACGGGCGTCCTCGCTGCGCTCTTACTGGGCAGTCAACGTAGCCGAGAGCAAGAGCGAAGGGGCATGTAATTAAGCCGCGTAAGGCCCGAGGTGAACGGGAAAATCGTATCTCGAGTACCCCGCGCAATTTAACCGGACGTCCCGAGATATGCCACAGCGCTCGAAGGTAGAAAGGTCTTCCTTCCCGGGTCAGTGAATAGGAGAGATTTGTTCTGGTTGTCCTCGAGAGGCCCACGCACATATCGCCGCATATAAAGCACTTTGAACATCTTAATATATACATATGTATAGCATCTAGATTTTTGCTAAAAGATATACTGTATATATGGAGGGACAAAAGCCATAGTGGTGTAAGTCAAATTTTTTGAAATATAATTGATTCGTGTGCATAGATGCAATCTGTAAAATATATAAATTGCATCTATGCACACGAGTCAATATTTTAAAAGCCACTATGGCTTTTACCTCTCCATATATAAAAAGTATTTTTTATAACTATTAAAAATGCTGCGTATTTTTTATAACTATTGAATATCTAGATGCTGCGAAGAATCGATGCTCAATCTGACGCAGCACTCGGCGCAAATTGCCTCGCGTTGCGAAATTATCTAACGGGGTGGGAAAGACTGGCGGCGGGGTGTCCAGCGTGTCGGGATGTTCCGTCACGAATTGAATCGCTCGATCGCGAAACGTTATTTGCATGTAACTCATTTGCCGAGCGCCACGCCGCGTTTTCGAGGGCATCTCTCTCTCTCTCTCTGTAATATATTTCGCGTAACGGGTCCAGCTTCTTCGCCGCACCTTCGGCCGCGGCATATCGCTGCCATCAGATCGAGCGAGTTCCTATTTCGCTTCACCTTCTAACGAGCCCGAGTCTTACACATTCGGTTTCTTACAGCTTCTCGCTCGATTACGTCTCGCAATAAATATTGCGCAACGTTAATTTATACCCGGTGATCTCCGGACACGCTGGACGCGTGAGGGGGAAGAGAAAAAATTTTTCCCGCCGATTGTCCAGTGCTCTCAATGAGGAAACTATCGGTACCTATCGAATGGTCCGTTATGGTGCGGTATTCATATTCGAAGGCAGATCCGTTACGCAAAGTCGACTCCTCTGCGCGCGACGTACCGACATACGAATACGCGTTATTCGCCACGATCTCGAAGATCTCGAGGGATTTCACTGCCTCGTAGGTGTATGTGCTCCGACGGTTTAGCGTTTTGCCTCGAGGGAGCGTAAAATTTACGAGGACGTATCCTATCATTATCATTATACTCTAAGATACTTACGCATAATGGCTAGCGCAGAGTTGCGTTACATGCATATACACACACGTGTTGCACAACGGTCGCGGAAAAGGAGGCACTATTCACGGTATTCCACATTCGCGACGAGCGTGACGTCTAATCTGCCCGTAATGTACGTGACGCAAATTACGTTACGTTTACATTACGCGCTACGACGCTTTATGGGAAGGAGTTGGGACACTCTCTGGGCCGGCGATATTTTTTTTTTTTTCTATATGGATTTTTTGTGTCGCGGGTATTTGTGCAACGGAACGCATAAAGGTTTACAATGCTACCGTTTAAGAGCGTCCTTTAATGATAAATTAGTTGCATTCGGTAAGGTTGTAACATTTTAAAACTCGGCGATAAAGAGGACGAGTTGATTTCATTATATATCTGTTTAACTTATTGTTAGTTTGTTTTATTAGTATCTTAGAATACACTATTAAATTCGTAGTGTTAAATTATACTCAACTGTTGTGAGTCATTTTTAATCATTCTTATAAGTCGCCACTGCTCCTACTCAATATGATGCTATTTAACTAAAACAATGTTAATTTAATTGAACTAATGGGGTTAAAATAATACTGTTTTGTGTTAAAATAATAAATTCCGACATACATAATAGTTAAAAACAACAAAATGTCATTTAACTCAAGGTATTGGTTCAAATTTCACCCTTTAATATTTAACAGTTTACGTAACTGGAACGAGCGTCAGTTTCTAGTGTCAGCTTAAAAAATGTATCGTATGGCAACCAAATTCTATGAGCAATTTGCGTCGGTTCTTCTCTCCAAGGGGAATCGTGGTACACAGTAAGCTGTGTCGGCACGACTCTCTCTCGCGTGCTCGTGCTCGTCCTCGTCCTCAATGGCCGCCGCCGATCGGAGAATCCGGTGTGCGATCGATAACGATCTAGATCCCGTTGAATCCGCGCTCAGGCAGTGGAAAGGAGGAGAACGCGACAGAGGAAGGAAGATTCCCGCCGTCGCTTCCTTCGCCGGGAAAGTTTAATTCCTCCTCGACCGGGAAACGAAGAAGAAAACGAGAAGCTGATGCGTCTCCGTATGTATGTATATACGTCGAGTCGAATATTCGGGTCAAATGGATTTCGAGGTCCCTTTCTTTCTCTCTTTCTCTCTCTCTCTTTCTCCCTCTTCCTCCCGCGAGGAAGGCAAAAGCTTCCTTGCGGGCAACGAAGACTTTCAGTTTCGCAATGAAGGCCGACGATAATTTTTGCGACTTGTCACCGTGTGAGCTCTAACATTCCCCGAAATATTTATCTATCAAACGAAAGACACATTTGCTTTTACCGCGATCTATCATGTTGATTATATCGTAAGAAGGATTCTCCGAGAGAAATTCGTGTAGCGAGTGTGCCTTTTATGACCGAAATCTCTCCCGCTTGGTCATTATTTTAATTGACGTTTTTTTCTGCTTCTCTCTCTCTCTCTCTCTGTTTTTTAATTATATTATTTTATTACATAAGTATGCGAACTGTAGACAGAATTAATTTTAACGATTATTAATCGTGTTTACAAAAACAAGATAAAATCGTGGAATCCCACAACGCGTGCGACTAAACTTTCTCGAATTTTTATTCTATTTTCGTTTGACTTAAACAGTCGTTGAAATGAAGAGCCGAATGATACAGCGTTTACGTGTCGAGGCTGCCAGAAGAAGAGTAGGACCTGCGCGGAGGCCTGTGTCAGTTTCGTTATTATGTCATTCTTGAATCGTTCATCGAAACCGTAGCCTCTCTTCGTCTATATCTATGTTAACTGTGGAGGAGAAGGGGGGGCAGGAAAGATGGACCTCGAACGTGAGAGGATACCGTCACTTAGCAAGGCTGACTTTTCGTCGACCGATGGTCGTGCCGCGTCCGAATTGGAGAACTCGTTCCGCTCGTGATCTACTTTTCTTGTATCGCGGCAAGAGCATCGCGCATCATTGCAAAATTAAGTCGGCACGTGCTCGTAGGATCCTCTATGCTAATTTTCTCCGCATTAATAGCGACGATATATCGGTAAAAAAAAACGAGTTTCGGTTCACCGATCTTCTCACTCCCCCTTTCTTTCTCGGTCCTTCTGTTTTTCTCGTCGTTATGCGGTATGCATGAACGTAAGGCATTTCCGAGGAAGTTGCAATCGAAATTTTTTAAGTTATTTTCTCTTCCTGCCCGTTTCTCGGCGGATCGCGGAAGCAGCCAATTCCATTGTTTCAACCACCAGTGGCGGAAAGCATTCGGTTACCGCGAATTAAGTACTTAGTCAATCGTGAAACGTCCGCATCTCAGTTAGGAGAAAAAAAAACGAGATAAACGTTTATGCAGATTTCTACGTGTGACAGAAGCCTCGAAAATTGACGAAAATGAAATTGGATGGATTCTCGTCGCTTAATTGTTCGATCGAAATCGATCATAATAAATAAATAAATAAATAAAAACGAGGAAAATAAATTCAGGCTCATTATTTTAAATTCCAATTATAGATTTTTACGAGGAAAGATTGACTTCTTCATCGATAGCAACGTTTTTATAGGCTCTTACGAAACAGAGTTCGCATTAAGCCCGAAGATTTTCATATATATCGCAGCATTTATGAATTAGAGTATTGCATAAATATTTTTCAAGTAGCACATCTCAATATGACGTAATAGAGCAAAATTTGTTCAGTCGAGCGTCTCGTGGAGATGCCACAAGTGGCTGTCGGACGTTACCAGTTACGCTTTCTACAAAAGCGCGAAAATCACGCTTTTTAAACATGCGATACGCACGATAATGGGCCTACGCACCGGCGTAAAACTCAATTTCAATTTTTCCCACGGGCCTGAATAGGCCGGCGAGCATTATATCAGTTATCATCATCGCTCTACAAATCTACGTTTCGAGTCATACAAAACAGAGGTTCTCGCGATTCAGCCTGCCTTCGGCTCTCACTCACATTTTCCGAAACGCGTAGCTGCATTTAAGTGTAAGATTTAACTACCCTGCGCAAGATCCACGCTCGCATTATTCGCGTATTTCGTATTGTTGCGTGTCATTATACCGTACCCTCGTCATCTGCTTACCCGAACACGTGTACGTGCACGAGGTACGAAAAGAATCGCGGCAATAAAAATATCTGCACGGAGAGAATTTTTCGTCATATTTTACCGTTAAATTCACTACAAACTTGGGACAACTTGGCAACCGAGAAATTTTTGAAATATACAAAAGACATTTTACAAACAACTTAATAAAAATTACCAAGCAGATTGGTAATTTTTGAAAAATTATTGAAATTTTACTATATATATTTCAGTAAAATTAATCAAACATATTTTACATTTTATTGTAATAGATAGATATTAACATTTTTTTCTTATGGTAGATATATTAATCAAAATAGCTCGCATAAAATTCTTCGTATAATACATGTCGTCCCACACAAATACCATGATTTTCAGAATAAATTCTAAGAGAAAATTCTCTCTGTGTGGAGTTCCGTTCCAGTATTAGCGTTCCCGGCTTCAGCCCGACGACAATTAATCGACAATTTACCTGGCCGTGAAAAAAATTTGGTATTAAAGAAAGCGGCGTTTTCGTGGGCGGACATCGACTTATATAGGAAGTTGCAGGCGACTGCAGGAAATGGACTGAAACTTGTATGGCAAACCGCAGCATAATTTGCGGGTGGAATAATGCCTGCATTACAATCTTTCTTCAAGTACTCGCGACATTATTGTGTCTCTTCGTAAGAGCCTTGTAATAAGGAATGTAATGATTGCGCGATATCATTAAAAAGTTCGCCATTAACAACTTCATAAAATGTGACATTCGATGAGTCAATAAAAGTCAACGAAATTTATACACGAATTTTTTAATATTTTATCGCAGCATTTTATCGTTCTTTATTAGGAATAATGTAACGCAAAAAATACTTAATTTTTATCTAAATTTATGTACGAGAACATCACGCAGCCATCAAAATTAATAAGAATTGTCTGAGCTTGATTAGCAGTGATAAGATCATTTCGTTGAAAGACCGTTGTGTTAACAAAATAATCCTGTTATTACGGTATCGCGTATAAACGAACTAGATAAATTCTCGCGATATTCGTGATACAAGATGTCGTACGGTCCATTTCTCACGTTCATTCGTCATTGAATTAACACTACCTGACGCATGTATGTCACGGATGGACGCAACCGATTCTATCCGGATCGAATGGTTAATTTTTCAACCGAAAGTACAGAGAGACAAATTTGAGCAGTACGGGCTCTCTGTATCGCAAGAAGAGGTAAGAACCCCGAAAGAGAGAAAGAGAGAGAAAGAGGGAGAGAGATTTGCAATAGTGCTCCCGTCGCATCTCATAGGTGATGGGTCGAGGCATCGAGTGGGGCCCCCATGCCTGGCCCGTATAAAAGGGGGCTACAAGACATCCGCGAAGCATCAGTCCTCAAATCAAGGAACAGCAGCAACCATGAGGGCATTCGTGGTGAGTAGCCCGTCCACGATTTCTCATTTCCCCGATTTCTCGTCTCCTCCTCCTCCTCCCCTCCTCTCCTCTCCCTCTCGTTCCTTCTTCCTCTTCCTCCCGTCCTCGCTGTTTCTTTTCTTTTTTTTTTCATTCGGATCCTTCTCTCTGACTTTCTTCTCGCGCGTACGGGAGATTTCTCGGAGGATGATGATAAGTCCGTGAGAGAGAGACAAGGAGAGAATTCGTCGTTCGTTTACGACCGAGAACGAGGGGTTCCATCCGAGGGCGGGAGGCGCGGAGAACGCGGGAGAAAGTAAAAGAGAGGGGAAGGTGCACAGGGAGTATTGTGTGCGGTGTCAATGTACTCCGTGATAGTGACTAACCCGAGAACCGGTTCAGTGATTGTGCCACTTCTCTAGTTCCGTTCGCGCGATTTAAAAGAGAGAGAGAGAGAGAGAGAGAGAGAGAAAACAGGAAGAAAAGAACTTAAGTATCGGGATTCTCTCCCGGGTTTACGTAATACTAACAACACCGTGGAACGCTAAGCGCGAACCGGTGGCTGAAACAAAAGGATGAGTTCCACGTGCTCGTAAATCCACCGCCGTGCACTTCCGGAAACGTTTTACCGCTTATTCTCTAGATATACGTTTACTGCTTCGTTTGCCGAAGTTTAAGAACGAGCAGAAGAATACCGAGGATTATTTCACTTGAAAAATTTGAAAGCATTTACATTGTCTTCGAGAGAGATCTATATCTATTACATATTTATTAATTAAGAACGCGTGGGAACTGTTTATATTAATGTACACCAAGTAAATAATAATATATTTTCGCACGTGTATATCTCTTTTATGTGAGAAATATTGAGAGATTTTAACGAATTCATCTTGACTTATTCATGAGCTGTATTTAATTTAACAGTAGCATAATTTTTGCATAATATATATAATAAATTACAATAAGAATAGGAAGAGAAAGTGGAATAAGGGAACGAGGGATACATTGTATTAAAATTATAACCAAACATAAACATATTAAAATATCCTTAAAGAAAAACCACGAGACAATCCTCGAACATCAGGCGAAAATCTCTATTATCTATTTTGACATCTAAACATCGGGAAAGTAAAATTGAATCAATTTGCAATCATAGATTCTGGCGCTCGCCGCGACGGCGATGGCGCGGCCGGAAGCCGGATACTCCTACAGCCAGCCTAGCAGTAGCTACGGTGCTCCCGGCGGCGGCGGTGGATTCGGCGGAGGCGGCGGAGGAGGCGGCGGAGGGATATCCCTCGGAGGAGGCGGCGGAGGGGTCGGCGCTTTGTTTGAAGGTGGTGGCGGTGGCGGTGGATTCGGCGGTGGCGGTGCATTCGGCGGATTCGGCGGAGGAGGTGGCCTCGGCGGCGGGGTTGGCGGTGGTGGTATCCAAGTACAGTCACAGTTCGGCGCAGGTGACGGAGGTGGATTCGGTGGTGGATTCGGCGGTGGCGCGCTCATTCAAAAACACATCTACGTTCACGTACCACCTCCGGAGGCTCCTGAAGAAAGAGTGATCAGGCCGATCGCGCCGCAGGGTCCGGCGCAGAAGCACTACAAGATCATCTTCATCAAGGCGCCCACTCCGCCGACCCCGACCGCTCCGGTGATCCCCGCGCTGCCGCAACAGGACGAGCAGAAAACGCTCATCTACGTGCTGGTCAAGAAACCCGAAGAGGCACCCGAGATCAGCCTGCCCACCATCACGCCCACTCAGCCCAGCAAACCGGAAGTCTACTTTATCAAATACAAGACGCAGGTAAGGGAAAGAAACTCGAGGCGTGACGTAAAAAAAAAGCGAAAATTCTAAACCAATCTTCCAATCATTTAATTTTTTTTTTCTTCGCATCAACAGAAGGAAGTTACCGGTGGCGGCGGCGGCGGCGGCGGCGGCGGTTACAGCGGTGGAATCGGCGGTGGTATCGGCGGCGGCGGAATCGGCGGTGGTATCGGCGGCGGCGGCATCGGCGGCGGTCACGGCGGCGGAATCGGCGGCGGAATCGGTGGCACCGGACCGAGCGGACCCAGCACGAGTTACGGGGCACCCAGTGGTGGATCCGGGCCATACTAGTCAATTCACCGCTACCCCCGTCGCGGCCCCTCCGTCCTACCCCCCCGTTCACCGACACACATCACGCACACACCGCTCACATACCTCTAACATGATCAGCGACGATGATACTTGCCGTATTGACGTATCGCTGTGTTGTATGCGCGATCGCCGAGAGAAGAAGACGACGACGATAACGAAGTTGAAGACGGCGATGATGATGACGATGTTGAATACGATGATGACGACGACGACGATGATGACGATGGCGATAATGAGGAGAATGATGATGATATCGATCACAACGACGACTACCATGATAATGATGACGACAATAACAATGATGATGATGATGACGATGATGATGATGATGTTTACGACGACTAGAGCGAAGGAGAGATGTTTTTTATACTTATTTTTTGCAAGAAAACGGTGGCGAAATAAAGCTTTTTTATGTATTTTTACATAAAAAAAAATATGTCTACGCCTCTCAACTTATTGTACACCTTTCCAACTCGAATCGATTCTAATAACATTCTAACCGATTCAGTGGAATTTCCTTCATTTCTGAATCTGCCAAGGTTGCTTTTTTCGAACGAAAAAGACAATAGGCAAATTCGTCAAATATTTCGTCAATTTTCCAAACGGGATTACGAAGTAAAATTCGGAAAAAATTACAAATTAGAAAAAACCCCAAACCGATCACGCGCGCGGCTCTTTTTCTCCCTCTAGAAATTCGCGACACCATTTTTATGGACAATTAATTTCACGCCAATTGGTGTGTGCCGACGAGGCGCTTTAATCCCGATTATACTCGGTGCGTGGCTTTATAATACACTCGCACGCACATAATCGTATTTTGTATGAGAGTATCACAACTGACATTTTAGGGAATACTCGGGGAGAGGAGGGAAAAGAGGAAGACACCGAAACTCCAGCTTGGTCCCGGTTTCATCGGACAGGTGGGCCACGGGGTTAATTCCCCGTGGCGACGATTTCCCTTCTCAGTGCGTTTCCGCATGAGAACGCCG